AAAGTAGATTCACGCATCCCGCAGATTTTTTTGAGGGGCAGGTTCTCAGGGTTTGTTTGGTTTTTTTGTTCGTGTGTTTTAAACCCGCCAATGTCCCGACGATTTAACCTCCCCGAAAAGATGGGGAAAACCAACCAAATGGATTGTTTTCAACTTTTCTAGGGGAAAACAAGGAGGAAAAAAAACCCCCAAACGACCCCAAACCGAACGTGGCTGCGGGCAGCTGAGGTGTCCTTGGCCGGGGCGAGGGGAAAGGGGGGGACTTCGTAGCTGTCACCTCGCTAAATGTCATCCCCACCTCGCAGCCCATCAACTTGCCCCATCAGCTGCTTTTTTTTTCTTCTTCTTCTTTGTGTGACGGGGTGGTATTATTTCTAGGCGTAACCAAAAAGGAAAAAAAAAAAAAAAAGGGCAAAATTAGAGCGGGACCCCTCTCCCCGCATTTATTAAACAGGAAAATTTCATCCTGACCGTGATCAAGTGGCGAAACTCAAACCTGTGGAAAACCACGCAGGCTGCAAAACATACAAGCTGGGGGGATTTGTTGAAGTGCTTTTCTGTAGCAAATGAAGTAAAACAGACGGCAAGGGAAAGGATCAAAGGATTACAACAATATTTGCACAACATGACTGGGAATAATGAAAAGAGAGAGCGGCCGGCGGTTTTAGTACCTCTTGAATGTAAAATTGGCCACTCGAGTGTTATCTGTCGATAATGATATATCCAGGGAGTGCTGGCCAAGTGACTTGGAATTAGTGGTGCATGATTCTTGTTAAATCGCGAGGCAATTTCTGGAATCGACTTTTCTTTGTATAAAGAGAAAAATCCTCCCCCCCTCCTCGCTTTCCCTGTCCCTCGCCCCCTCCAGCATTTCTGCAAATTACCCAGCTGAGTTCTCTCCCCCCCCCCCGCCTTTTTTTTTTTTTTTTTAATTTCCAGCCTGTGAAATCGTATTAATCTGCAAGATCTACATTGCGAGATATTAAACAAATTGGGGAGGGGGATTAAGGAGCTGCTGGTCCCCTGCTCCGGGCGGGGATG